AGTATACTTACCTTGATCAAATGGCCATGGCCTCTATTGTTTGTGGACACCCAGTGTGGCAAGTCTCCCTGTCCTGGCCATGCCTGTGCATTACAGCCCCATAGCCATGTCACAAGGCTGAGATGACCCCACAGAAGTATCAGGGGCTGTAATATGCAGGCATGGCCCAGACTATAAGATTTGCAGCGCTGGATGTAAACAAACACCAGAGGCCGTGGCTATTGGATTAGGGTGAGTATGCACCCGGGTGCCACCATTGGAGGAGTGACACCAAAATGACTGACTGTCCTTTTGGTGTCACCCCCTATGAAAAGTCAGGCAATCGGTCATGGACCAAGAGCCCGAGTGTCAGGAGAGAGGAGGGGACCCGCCGGGTGAACGTCCCCTCCTCTCTCTGTCCGTCACCAAGATGGCCGCCGGCAGGCGTCAATAAGACGACCGCGCATTCGCAATTTATGTCAGCCGCGGGACGCCCCGAGTGTGAAAATGACTTTCAGGTAAACATTACATATGGAAAATGTTATAATTACCCTCTTAAGCGTACTAGAAGCAGCTATTTAAATAATGCCCATAAAATGTAAAGTGAAGCTATTCCATGTGTAGGATGAGGGCGGACCAGAGGCCACCACCTCCCGCTGAGATAAAGCCGAGGGCGGCCAATATCATTCCGCACCACTCTGTTTGATTTGGAATCTCCGTGGCTTCTGGGTGTTTCCATTTCACGCCTGGCTTATCCTCAGCACTTAAAGGATACTCAGGACTCCGTCCACATTAGACGGGATGAGAACTCCCTAAAAAAACAAAGACATTGGTTTTATGGTTTGGGTTAAAAGAACACTCCGCTCGTAAATATTCCACTCGGGCTAACAAAAAAAAACATTGTCTTTGTTTTATTACAAGTAGTATTGTCATCATTTCTTTCCTGTGTTTATACAGAAAAACCGGAGCCAACAGCAATGTAATAGAGTACAAAAGGACTATAAATCTTTGTGGCGGATGTATAAATTGATGCCAGAAAGGCCGGCTGCTACACATTCCCCATACATATACTGTGGCAGGGCAGTATTGGACATGCGCTAGAAAGGGGATAGGTTCAACCCAATCACTAAAACCTCAGGTAAGCTGTATTATGGAAATGTCATTTCTAAACTCATGATCCATATTTGTAAAGCTGCATCATTAAAAGAATACCTAGGTCCTTGCTCAGGCACTTCCTGTTATGGGGTGACAATGCTCTGTCCCTGACTCTCAATTATGCTCCTGCGTTGTCCTGTTACATGGCTTCCAATAGAGACTATAAGTAGCCATTGCAACACACAGTAGGCAGGCCACCATTATTATGAAACCCACCCTGAGAAATGTCATGCAGCCATCTCTGGATTGCGCACAGGAATGAAATGGCTGCAGGCAGAGGCGTCCTGAGGCGAGGCGACACCCGGTGCAGGTACCAGGTGAGAACCCGCAGTGTGATGTCACATGCTTACCGCTGCTACCTACTGGTCATCTTGGTGATGGACGCTGGCAGAGAGAGAAGGGGACGTTCACCAGGCGGGATAACGTATGCTGCCGGGTCCCCTCCTCTCTCTCGCAAATGTCCAGCTCTTGGTCCATGACCGAAAGCCCAACTTTTCAGAGTGGGTGACACCAAAATTAATGTCAGTCATTTTGGTGTCACCCCTTCAATGGTGTCACCCGGATGCAGGCCGCACCCCCCGCGTGACGCCACTGGCTGCAGGAGATCATCAGTACTCAGAGCCAATGGCCAATACTGTGCCCACATCCTTTTATACTATCACAGTACATATAGTCACATTGCAATCTTCTTAGACACAGACAAATAGTTACCAGCCACTATGCTCCATTATAGACAATTCTAGTAATCTACAAGACGTCAGAAGCATTATGTGCGTACGAATGATTTCAGCCGTATAATCTGTGCCGGACATACCGAGGAATTCGTGTTGCAGATCACCCTGGTCCCATCTTCCTCTGTGAACACCAGATCCCCAGCAACGCAGCCCTTGGAGGTAGACAGCTAGAAAAGAAACGCACAGTTAGAGGTATATTTATAAACTGACTTTCACTAAACATTCACTGCAGGAGAATCTTTCAGGTGTGTGTGCTTTAGATGACAGCAATTGGTTTACTTCCAGTAAATATTTGGTGAGGCTACATTGACTGCTTTATGGACAAGGTCTGGCCTACATCACCGTCCTTACTGGGCTACTGCCAATAGGGTGAGAACATGATGGTGGTGCCAAACCATTGTCTTAAAGTCAGTGTGCAAAGTCAGCACCTGTATTCCATATATTTTTGATGGTGGGAACCCCTCATAATGGGCACAACAGGTGTGCAGACCCCAAACCGAGCCAAGGGATGGTGTGCAGACCCGGGAACTCAGCACAGGGATGGTGGGAGCCCCTCATAATGGGCACAGCAGGGGTACAGACCCGGGAACTCAGCACAGGGATGGGGGGAGCCCCTCATAATGGGCACAGCAGGGGTACAGACCCGGGAACTCAGCACAGGGATGGGGGGAGCCCCTCATAATGGGCACAGCAGGGGTACAGACCCGGGAACTCAGCACAGGGATGGGGGGAGCCCCTCATAATGGGCACAGCAGGGGTACAGACCCGGGAACTCAGCACAGGGATGGGGGGAGCCCCTCATAATGGGCACAGCAGGGGTACAGACCCGGGAACTCAGCACAGGGATGGGGGGAGCCCCTCATAATGGGCACAGCAGGGGTACAGACCCGGGAACTCAGCACAGGGATGGGGGGAGCCCCTCATAATGGGCACAGCAGGGGTACAGACCCGGGAACTCAGCACAGGGATGGGGGGAGCCCCTCATAATGGGCACAGCAGGGGTACAGACCCGGGAACTCAGCACAGGGATGGGGGGAGCCCCTCATAATGGGCACAGCAGGGGTACAGACCCGGGAACTCAGCACAGGGATGGGGGGAGCCCCTCATAATGGGCACAGCAGGGGTACAGACCCGGGAACTCAGCACAGGGATGGGGGGAGCCCCTCATAATGGGCACAGCAGGGGTACAGACCCGGGAACTCAGCACAGGGATGGGGGGAGCCCCTCATAATGGGCACAGCAGGGGTACAGACCCGGGAACTCAGCACAGGGATGGGGGGAGCCCCTCATAATGGGCACAGCAGGGGTACAGACCCGGGAACTCAGCACAGGGATGGGGGGAGCCCCTCATAATGGGCACAGCAGGGGTACAGACCCGGGAACTCAGCACAGGGATGGGGGGAGCCCCTCATAATGGGCACAGCAGGGGTACAGACCCGGGAACTCAGCACAGGGATGGGGGGAGCCCCTCATAATGGGCACAGCAGGGGTACAGACCCGGGAACTCAGCACAGGGATGGGGGGAGCCCCTCATAATGGGCACAGCAGGGGTACAGACCCGGGAACTCAGCACAGGGATGGGGGGAGCCCCTCATAATGGGCACAGCAGGGGTACAGACCCGGGAACTCAGCACAGGGATGGGGGGAGCCCCTCATAATGGGCACAGCAGGGGTACAGACCCGGGAACTCAGCACAGGGATGGGGGGAGCCCCTCATAATGGGCACAGCAGGGGTACAGACCCGGGAACTCAGCACAGGGATGGGGGGAGCCCCTCATAATGGGCACAGCAGGGGTACAGACCCGGGAACTCAGCACAGGGATGGGGGGAGCCCCTCATAATGGGCACAGCAGGGGTACAGACCCGGGAACTCAGCACAGGGATGGGGGGAGCCCCTCATAATGGGCACAGCAGGGGTACAGACCCGGGAACTCAGCACAGGGATGGGGGGAGCCCCTCATAATGGGCACAGCAGGGGTACAGACCCGGGAACTCAGCACAGGGATGGGGGGAGCCCCTCATAATGGGCACAGCAGGGGTACAGACCCGGGAACTCAGCACAGGGATGGTGGGAGTCCCTCATAATGGGCACATCAGGTGTACAGACCCGAGAGACCTTCTCAGGAAGCAGTTGGTTATTCATGTTGTTTCTGTCTCCAGGATTTATTGAACACTGAAATATGGGCTTTGGGTGGGCCGACTCTTCAAGAGAAAAGTTGAGTCTGTCTGTGCTACAGTTCATTGAACACCAACACTGTTCTCTGTACCGATGTATTGAATGAACTGCTCTGCTGCATATAAAACACTAGTCAGGGCTACATGATACCAGAACATACGATATGTAAGCTCCTTCTGGGAATCTTCAGCATGCAGGAAATATCGATGATAATACTGTCCACTGTCTTCTGGCTTCCATAAAGCTGAACATTGTCATAAAAGACGTCCCTAAGGCAACAGTAACATGTACATGAGAGTTCATCCTGTAAAGGAGGCCACACTTTAAACCTTTCTCAACCTTTCTGCCATGCAGGAACCCTTGAAATAAATGTTAGGTTTCAGGGAAACCCTTCTAATAATCAGTATATCTACAGCTGGTGTGAACAGTAGATTGAAGATATAACAATACATATAAATGGTGTGCTCAGTGTATGTAAAATCCCAGGGCTGCACTATAATGTCCCTAATACTGAAATGAAACAGACCATGCACAATGTGTTCCCATACATTGATGGTAAGTGCAATGCTGTCTTTGACTGGCGATCGGTAAAGTTACACTGGTGGTCATTGGGAGAAGGGCTCTATCACACTGGTGGTCATTGGGAGAAGGCCCCTATTACACTGGTGGTCATTGGGAGGTGTGCCCCATAGCACTAGTGGTCATTGGGAGAAGGCCCCTATTACACTGGTGGTCATTGGGAGGTGTGCCCCATAGCACTAGTGGTCATTGGGAGAAGGCCCCTATTACACTGGTGGTCATTGGGAGGTGTGCCCCATAGCACTAGTGGTCATTGGGAGAAGGCCCCTATTACACTGGTGGTCATTGGGAGGTGTGCCCCATAGCACTAGTGGTCATTGGGAGAAGGCCCCTATTACACTGGTGGTCATTGGGAGGTGTGCCCCATAGCACTAGTGGTCATTGGGAGAAGGCCCCTATTACACTGGTGGTCATTGGGAGGTGTGCCCCATAGCACTAGTGGTCATTGGGAGAAGGCCCCTATTACACTGGTGGTCATTGGGAGGTGTGCCCCATAGCACTAGTGGTCATTGGGAGAAGGCCCCTATTACACTGGTGGTCATTGGGAGGTGTGCCCCATAGCACTAGTGGTCATTGGGAGAAGGCCCCTATTACACTGGTGGTCATTGGGAGGTGTGCCCCATAGCACTAGTGGTCATTGGGAGAAGGCCCCTATTACACTGGTGGTCATTGGGAGGTGTGCCCCATAGCACTAGTGGTCATTGGGAGAAGGCCCCTATTACACTGGTGGTCATTGGGAGGTGTGCCCCATAGCACTAGTGGTCATTGGGAGAAGGGCCCTATCACACTAGTGGTCATTGGGAGAAGGGCACTATCACACTAGTGGTCATTGGGAGAAGGCCCCTATTACACTGGTGGTCATTGGGAGAAGGGCCCTATTACACTAGTGGTCATTGGGAGAAGGGCCCTATCACACTAGTGGTCATTGAGAGAAGGGCTTTTTTTTTGTGGTCATTGGGAGAAGGCCCCTATTACACTAGTGGTCATTGGGAGAAGGGCCCTATCACACTGGTGGTCATTGGGAGAAGGGCCCTATCACACTGGTGGTCATTGGGAGAAGGCCCCTATTACACTGGTGGTCATTGGGAGAAGGGCCCTATCACACTGGTGGTCATTGGGAGAAGGGCCCTATCACACTAGTGGTCATTGGGAGAAGGGCACTATCACACTAGTGGTCATTGGGAGAAGGCCCCTATTACACTGGTGGTCATTGGGAGAAGGGCCCTATTACACTAGTGGTCATTGGGAGAAGGGCCCTATCACACTAGTGGTCATTGAGAGAAGGGCCTGCTTACACTGGTGTTCACTGGGAGAAGAGCCCCATTACACTGGTGGTCATTGAGAGAAGGACCCTATTACAAGGGTGATCACTGGGAGAAGGGCCCTATTGAACTGGTGATTACTGGGAGAAGGGCCCTATTGCACTGGTGATTACTGGGAAAAGGCCCCTATTACACTGGTGGTCACTGGGAGAAGGGCCCTATCACACTGGTGATCGCTGGGAGAAGGGCCCTATCACACTGGTGATCACTGGGAGAAGGGCCCCATTACACTGGTGGTCATTGGGAGAAGGGCCCCATTACACTGGTGGTCATTGGGAGAAGGGCCCTATTACACCGGTGATCACTGGGAGAAGAACCCCATAACACTGGTGGTCATTGAGAGCAGGGACCCAATACACAGGTGGTCAGTGGAAAGAATGCCCCTTTCCAAATAGTTAAAACAAACATTGGTGTCAGAGTTTTTTACTTGAGAGCCAGAACATTGCTCATTGCTCATGGAACCCCTAGTACTCTCTGGAGGATGCCTAGGATTCCACGACACCCTGGTTGAGAATGGCTGCTTCAAACTAACTAGACTTATAACAGAGAAAGAATCTGAGCACAACTACAGATGATTCTTGAACTACTCATTCTCAAACCCAGCATCATTCTTTCAGTCCAGCTGAGGTTCTGGAGGAAGTGAACTCACAAAGACGATCCTTTGCCAGGCAACGTCCCAGCTTTTTCCTGGGCTTCTGAGGTGTCCAGAGGCCAGTAAGGAGATGTAACTCCTGAGTCTGCCCCTGGGCCACCACCCTGCTCTACAAGGCTAATAAAACTGCACTGGCAACACAGTATGAGTGACACACCGACTGTTCTACCACAACACTCACCTCTTGGTTGCGTATGTGTCGGTCTGAACCAGCTTGTAGATCACAGACAAGATCTTCATAATAAGGGCTAAGGGTCCGAGATAATAATAATGTTATTTATGGCAAAGTCCATCTTTATAACATAGTTATACCTATAGCATAAGACAAGACCAGTCACCCTGCACAAGGAGAGAGAGTAGCAGTGACCGGTCTTTATTACAGGAGGGGCGGAGACAAGACCAGTCACCCTGCACAAGGAGAGAGAGTAGCAGTGACCGGTCTTTATTACAGGAGGGGCGGAGACAAGACCAGTCACCCTGCACAAGGAGAGAGAGCAGCAGTGACCGGTCTTTATTACAGGAAGCTCCAAGTCTGACACTTGAGTGCTGCACAGATCCTGGAAGAAATACACAAAGCTCACAGGATTCAGGAAGAATACACAGGACTCTTGTATGAGAACAGTATTTGCTGATTACGGAGTTCAGCTTTAAGGTATCTAAGAAACAGACTGTATGGATGCAGATACACCCTATGTACAGCACGTAGGGCCAACACTGAATGACAGGTACACTTCCCACTCCTTATCTTTGCAGAAAACTAACCAAAATGCAAAGCAGATCGGGGGCAGTCACTCCGGATTTTTCTGGTGCTACAATCCTTCACCATCTGCAGTCCAACCGAATCACTGAACCTGCAAAACATTCATATCAGCAGACAAATGGAAGACACATCAATAGGGGAACTTACAAGACAGGGAGCCCTCTCTTCTGATATACTCTGCTGGAGGACTCTGCTCCTTCTATATAACTCTCCTCTCCTGAAATACTCTGCTCTGCTGGAGGACTCTGCTCCTTCCTCTATAACTCTCCTCTCCTGATATACTCTGCTCTGCTGGAGGACTCTGCTCCTTCCTCTATAACTCTCCTCTCCTGAAATACTCTGCTCTGCTGGAGGACTCTGCTCCTTCCTCTATAACTCTCCTCTCCTGAAATACTCTGCTCTGCTGGAGGACTCTGCTCCTTCCTCTATAACTCTCCTCTCCTGAAATACTCTGCTCTGCTGGAGGACTCTGCTCCTTCCTCTATAACTCTCCTCTCCTGAAATACTCTGCTCTGCTGGAGGACTCTGCTCCTTCCTCTATAACTCTCCTCTCCTGAAATACTCTGCTCTGCTGGAGGACTCTGCTTCCTCTATAACTCTCCTCTCCTGAAATACTCTGTACAGATCACTATCCCCACAAGCCCAGCATGTACTTTCCTGTAGTATTGCTGGATAGGTCCAGCAGTGCAGAAATGCTCCTTACTCTATGTTGCTCCATGTTGATCTGTTTTCCACAGTGAGTACCGGGGCCTCATTCCTGGACAGGCTCTCCAACACTCCCTGGACAATCTTCTCTATGGCGACTATTACCTGAGAACTGAGAGTCACACACTATTATTATACATTTATATAGCTCTGACATATACAGCAGTGCTGTACAGAGAACACTGAGCCAGTCACGTCAGTCTCTGTACAGAGGAGCTTACACTCTAATGTCCCCCCCACAGTCACATCAGTCTCTGTACAGAGGAGCTTACACTCTAATGTCCCCTCCCCCCACAGTTACATCAGTCTCTGTACAGAGGAGCTTACACTCTAATGTCCCCCCCCCACAGTCACATCAGTCTCTGTACAGAGGAGCTTACACTTTAATGTCTGTCCGTCCCCCACAGTCACACACTATTATTATACATTTATATAGCTCTGACATATACCGCAATGCTGTACAGAGAACACTGAGCCAGTCACATCAGTCTCTGTACAGAGGAGCTTGCACTCTAATGTCCCCCCACAGTCACAGCAGTCTCTGTACAGAGGAGCTTGCACTCTAATGTCCCCCCACAGTCACAGCAGTCTCTGTACAGAGGAGCTTGCACTCTAATGTCCCCCCACAGTCACAGCAGTCTCTGTACAGAGGAGCTTGCACTCTAATGTCCCCCCACAGTCACAGCAGTCTCTGTACAGAGGAGCTTGCACTCTAATGTCCCCCCACAGTCACAGCAGTCTCTGTACAGAGGAGCTTACACTCTAATGTCCCCCCACAAGACACATAGTATTATTATTGTACAAAGGGGTGTTAATCTGTTCCTCTCACCTAGTAACCGGCTCCACAGCAATACCACAGACCTCATCCTCGACTTTCAGCACAGCCCTCACGAGGGACATCCTATGACAATCTACACAGTCGAAGAAGTCTGGACTCTGAAGAAAAGCCATGTGTGTACCAGTCACAGAAGAGAAGGACTGCAGACAGGATGATAAAGAGAACCTGTCACTTTCATGCAGGCACTTTTTTTTTTGCACATGATAGATGTCTCTTATATTCAATACTATGCAAAATGAAAGGGTCAATCTACACAAAGTTGACTTTAAGTTTGTGGCATATTCTGGCAGCTTCAGACACCCACCATCTTCTCAGATCTCTCTGACAGGGAGAGTGCCCATGTTGAATTTTGTATTTCATGACAAGGAGGATGGTGGACCAAGAACACCATTGGTAGACCAAGAACACCATTGGTAAACCAAGAACACCATTGGTAGACCAAGAACACCATTGGTAAACCAAGAACACCATTGGTAGACCAAGAACATCATTGGTAGACCAAGAACATCATTGGTAGACCAATAACACCATTGGTAGACCAAGAACATCATTGGTAGACCAATAACACCATTGGTAGACCAAAACCATAATTGGTAGGCCAAGAACATCATTGGTAGACCAAGAACATCATTGGTAGACCAAGAACATCATTGGTAGACCAAGAACACCATTGGTAGACCAAGAACATCATTGGTAGACCAAGAAGATCATTGGTAGGCCAAGAACATCATTGGTAGACCAAGAACATCATTGGTAGACCAAGAACATCATTGGTAGACCAAGAACACCATTGGTAGACCAAGAACATCATTGGTAGACCAAGAACATCATTGGTAGGCCAAGAACATCATTGGTAGACCAAGAACATCATTGGTAGGCCAAGAACATCATTGGTAGACCAAGAACACCATTGGTAGACCAAGAACACCATTGGTAGGCCAAGAACATCATTGGTAGGCCAAGAACATCATTGGTAGGCCAAGAACACCATTGGTAGACCAAGAACATCATTGGTAGGCCAAGAATATCATTGGTAGACCAAGAACATTATTGGTAGGCCAAGAACATCATTGGTAGACCAATAACATAATTGGTAGGGCAAGAACATAATTGGTAGACCAAGAACATCGTTGGTAGACAAGAACATCGTTGGTAGACCAAAAACATAATTGGTAGGCCAAGAAAATCATTGGTAGACAAAGAACACCATTGGTTTCTGAAACTTTTATAACATCAGATGCCAGGTAACCTCTGGCGCACGTCAGCCTGGAAGATCCTGAAACAAAGACCATTTCTCCAAACCTGTTGAGGATCTCTCTGCAGACGTGAGAGTGGGATCCTATGTGGATTGATTGGGCACAGCATGCTCGCTGGCCATAGAAGGGATCTGTGTTAGTATTGATTGCCCACATCCTGGACAATATTGGCTTTGCTGCAGTGCTATAACTGTAATGTGCCAAGATGGCCACCATCTCTGTAACCGCCAAGCCTCTGTATCTGATCTTTGTCCTTAACTGCAACACTTGAGGGCAAGCTCTTGAACTTCTACCCACCTCCACTATATTATATACGGCCAACCAAAAATAATCATGTTATACGGTTCACCCCCTGTCACCTAAACTGGCCCACAGGCTTGCTATAGGGCTGAAAGCAACTCTGAAGGCAGAAACTTCAGCAAATGGATCTATGTTCTCTAGATCAGGGGTGGGCAACTCCGGCCCTCCTGCTGTTGTGGAACTACAAGTCCCATGAGGCATTGCAAGACTCTGACAGTTACAGGCATGACTCCCAGAGGGAGAGGCATGCTGAGATTAATAGTTAAAGCATAGCTGGAGGGCCGCAGTTGCCCACCCCTGCTGTATACCCTTCTGTGAATATAAAGTCAGGGCTTGCGTAGTCAAACTCTGGGCTGGTTTTCAGAAACATTTCGACGTGCAAAATGCTCCCTCCAAATTGGGGTCTGAATGTTTTGGGAACACCAAGAGTGGAGGGGGAGGAGACATCAACTCTAAAGTCCCCAGGACATGTTAGAGATGACTGATGCCTTGGCCTGAAGGGATTTGAGTAGACTGATCCTTTAACATGTCTACTTGTGAATGAACAGCAGGGGGCGCTCCTAGTATTAAAAACCAGCCATAGCCCAGAGTCACTCACAGCCTCGGCCCGCAGAGGATTACAGACGAATCCTTAAAGAGTATCTGATCCCAAGAGCAGAAATGTGATATATTTTCTTTCTCACTTTCTGTTATAGGGTGACAACGGTCACTCACCGTACTGTATCTATGGAGGAGCGGTGTTGTCACCCTAGGATGGGAAGTGTGTTAGGACTACAGAACACCTCCTCATCTCCTTAACATGGAGGGTTCTGTTTTTCACCTGTGAAGTTGCTTGATATAAGACCCTACTAATCCATCCTTTCGGCCAACGCTCAGTGAAGAGCACCGGCCAAAAGAAACTGATCGCCTACACAGCCGTGTAGCTGCTCCCGCAAGTCAGGTACGCGGTCCTGACTTCTCAGCTGGCTGCGGGCCACACAGTACCGGTTTGCGGGCCGCAATCACCCCTCGGGCCGGTACTTTCAGACCCGTGTTCTAGATTGTTCACTTCTCCTGCCTCCTCCAAACTCTTCACCCCTTTGTGAACAACTCTGTTAGAGGTTGACCACTAGAGGAGCTTTCGCTATTTCCGTTCAATAACTCTGATGGGATAAGATATCAGCCACACGGGGAGCATTGTTTTCTAGAAACTTCCGACCCCAAGGGACCTATGTATAATAATGCGTGCTGTGCGAATGTATCAGACTTCCTGCACAAGTCACAAATAATATCCTTCCAATGTTTTGCAAAATGCTTTTTTTCCCCCTAAGATTTAAGTTGTCTTTTGCGGGGCAAATTCAACATTCACTAATACCCCAAGCACAAGCCTAAAAGAATAGCCTAAGAACATTCGACCAGAAGAGAATAGCTTAATGCAGGGGTAGGCAACTCCGGCCCTCCAGATGTTGTGGAGCTACAAGTCCCATGAGTCAATGCAAGACTGACAGTTACAGGCGTGACTTCGAGAAGCAGAAGCATGTTGAGATTTGTAGTTAAAGTGCAGCTGGAGGACCAGATTTGCCCAGATCTGGCTTAAAACAATAGCCTAAGAACATACGACCAGAAGAGAATAGCTTAAAACAGGCATGGGCAACTCCAACCCTCCAGCTGTTGTGGAACTACAACAATAGCCTAAGAACATTCAGCCAGAAGAGCTCAACAGCCTACAACAATAGCCTAAGAACATGTGACAAGAAGAGAACAGCCTACAACAATAGCCTAAGAACATGTGACAAGAAGAGAACAGCCTACAACAATAGCCTAAGAACATGTGACAAGAAGAGAACAGCCTACAACAATAGCCTAAGAACATGTGACAAGAAGAGAACAGCCTACAACAATAGCCTAAGAACATGTGACCAGAAGAGAACAGCCTACAACAATAGTCTAAGAACATGTGACAAGAAGAGAACAGCCTACAACAATAGCCTAAGAATGTGTGACCAGAAGAGTATAGCCTAAAACAGCCTAAGAACATTCAACCAGAAGAGAATAGCTTAAAACAGGCATGGGGCAACTCCAACCCTCCAGCTGTTGTGGAACTACAAGTCCCATGAGGCATTGCAAGAATGACAGTTACAGTCATGACTCCCAGAGACAAAGGCATATTAGGATCTGCTATTTCTGCTGTTAAAGCATAGCTGGAGGGTCGGAGTTGCCCACCCCTGGCTTAAAACAATAGCCTAAGAACGTGTGACCAGAAGAGAATAGCCTAAAACAGCCTAAGAAGATTCAACCAGAGGAGAATAGCCCAAGAACATTCGATTATAAAAGAAAATGCCTTAAGTACATTCGATTTGTACATTTTCAACAAGACGAAAAAGGTATGCAATTCTAAGTAGTGATGGGCTTGGGCGTGTTCGCAGCTCCACGTGCCGAGCCCGCCAGGAAGCTGACAGCGCCAATCACAGGCACTGAGACATTATCCCGGTTCGCAGCTGCAGAGATCGGGAAATGTCTCCGTGCCTGTGATTGGCGCTGTCAGCTTCCTGGCGGGCTCGGCACGTGGAGCTGCGAACACACCCAAGCCCATCACAGTCCTAAGACTTGTATGAGAGGAGGAGCAGTAAACCATTGTGTGACGTTGTAAAGCAAGAAGGAGAGCCGGTGTCAGAGGTGTATCAACATGGCTGCCCCCATGTCAATAAAGAGTTACAAATGATACAAATAAAAAAGGATCAGATCGTTTGCAGTGATTGGATCACCGTCACACGGATGAAACCTTCCCTTGTAATGAATGGAAGGTGGGCAGTGTGCACACATCCAGCAGTTTCCTCTTCTCTTCATAGAGGGGAAGGAAGCAATAAGTTATGAACGGGGGAAAATAAAATCTCTTTCTTCACCGCGGGTCGTAAATTGTGGAATTAGCTGCCTGAAATGGTATTCGCGGATGTGCCAGAAACCGTTTTAGCTGCGGAAGGCCCGTCGCAGAGAGGTTTGGTTTGGCCGAGCGCGGAGTGAAATCTCTTCTGAGAGCTTTTCGGATGGTCTCCTAATCCTACCTGGGGCTGACCGCGGGAGAGGAATGAACGCCGCGCGCTATTGATTAACGTCCGCAGAACGTCCTCCTGACAAGTGCGGTTGGATTCCATTCGCATTACTGGTATGTCTGGGCTCTTAAAGGCATCAATGGAAACGAGCAGGCCCTTGTGGGCGACGGCAAGTGTAAAGCCGTCCATACTCGGGGAAGGGGGGGAATCCCCTCCGATCACAATACCCAAACAGTGGCTGAAGCTGATTGGATCGGCCAAGAACTTGGAGATCGTTTTCTTTGACAAAAGACGATTGAGAAATCCATGGAGGGGTTCTGACGGGGGCCACACACCGCTTGAATTCCCGCCATATCAGGAGGGCTGAAGTTCCAGCAGTGTATGGCCAGCTTGACTCGGAGCTACCAAGTGCCTGTCTCTCTAGTAAAGGAGAATAAGCCACCAGCACACCAACGGCGCACTTCATCGTTTCGTCTTTATTTGGCCTCACATGCAGATGCAACACTATGCAGTTCCTTCATCAGACAG